CCCAAAGTTCCACTTCATTAGCCATCTTGTTATACCTGCTTTGTTTACAATTAAATGTACATCATTTGAAACCAATCAGGAGAGCATTCTTGGCTGCACTTTGGGGGCCCCATGGAGTCTGGAGGGGTAAGGGATCTGGAGCCAACATCAGCGGGTACTGTGTACTGTCGGGTTCTCGTTTTCCTCCCAACATCTGTTCCATCTCACTGCCACAATGAAGGTTCTAGCTGAGATCTCCCCATCTTTCTTGAAAACGTCACCTAGGCATTGTCCAACCTTAAGAAAGTGATAGAACTAGCAAAAGCGGGGAGGGGTCCTGTGGCACCTTATAGACTAACCAAAGTGTTGGAGCATCAGCTTTCGTGGGCAAAGACCCACTTCGTCAGATGCAGGTCGTGGAAATTTCCAGAGGCAGGTATAAATATGCAGGCCAGGATCGGGCTGGAGATGACGAGGTGGATCCAATCAGGGAGGATGAGGCCCACTTCTAGTGGCTGATCTGGAGGTGTGAATTCCAAGAGAGCAGAAGCTGCTTTTGTAGTTAAGGAGCCATTCACAGTCTTGGTTTAATCCTGAGTTGATTGTGTCAAACTTGCAGATGAACTGTAGCTCAGCAGTTTCTCTTTGAAGTCTGGTCCTGAAGTTTTTTTGCTGCAGGATGGCTACCCTTAGATCTGCAATTGTGTGTCCAGGGAGATTGAAGTGTTCCCCTACAGATTTTTGTATGTTGCCATTCCTAATATCTGATTTGTGTCCATTGATTCTTTTACGTAGGGACTGTCCAGTTTGGCCGATGTATATAGCAGAGGGGCATTGTTTGCACATGATGGCATATATTACGTTAGTAGATGTGCAGGAGAATGAACCAGTGACAGTATGGCTGATCTGGTTAGGTCCTGTGATGTACACCTGTGATGTACACCAAGAGCCAAACTTACTGATTACCGTGGCAAACACACCCAAAGCATCCTTTTTAGCTTTTATTAAAGACACACAAAAAAGAAAAGAAAACAAATGCCAATCTGGAATAATGGGTGTTTAGCTGGGACAAGTTTTCTGAAAGGAAATCAAAGGCTTGATTTGACAGACTTTTCAATGGCCTTAAAATTCAGTCTCTGTTTGAATCTGCATCTTTTGGGACAACACAACTAAGTTAGTAGCACTTGACTAGAGCTGTCACGGCTGTTGATAAAGTCTGACCCCACGGCCTATAATAACAAAACACGACAAATATACACAAAAGGGATAGAGATGCAGCCGTGTTAGTCTGGTCTAGCTAAAGCAAAAGACAGGACTATGTAGCACTTCAAATACTAACAAGAGGGTTTATTAGGTGATGAGCTTTCGTGGGCTAATAAACCATCTTGTTAGTCTTTAACGTGCTACATAGTTCTGTCTTTTACACACAAAAGGGGTGAGAAACAAAACAGAAGAACAGAAGAGCGGCCAGACCGTCCTGGCTGCCCATGCACCCTGATGGAAGGAAATCGATGTGAGGTTCCCCAATCCATCGGCTGCAAGAACTGTCCCCTCTTCTGATTTGCAGCCGCGCACCTATCTCGGCCAAAGCCCTGCCGTGCTACAGCGAGCTCTGCTTCTTCAGAGACCCCCCGGGGGTCTGGTTCCCCCAAAGAGAGGTCCTCTTTTGAACTCCTCCAGTCCGCTGGTTCCAGTTCCTTCTTGGGCTTCAGCCATAATGGATAGCAGCTAAGAACACAAGATCGGCTATACTGGGTCAAATCAAAGGTCCATCCAGCACAGAGTCCTGTCTGCCCACAGTGGCCAACGCCAGAGGGAGCGAACACAACTGGGAATCCAGTGAGATTTTCAATAACTCATCCAGAGGCTGGGGGTAGGTGGGTGGGGTCAGTCGCCATGTGCCGGAACTCAGAAGACATGATCCCAGTGGTCTCTTCCGGGCTTCATTTCTGAGTTGGAAACGGTTGAGCCAGAACAGCTGATTCGCCATGCGAGGGCATGGACTATCCAATGGATCACAGTGCCCCAAGGGCACCCAGGGGGCTGATTTGCCATGCAAGGGCATGGACTAACCAATGGATCACAGTGCCCCAAGGGCACCCAGGGATCTACCTCGTCGCCGTGCATTGATCAGCCAGGAACACAATCGGGTGAACTGTGAGACCAATGGGAGCTTGGTCTTTGAAACCGGCGAGGTTGGCCCCGTTATTCGGGAGGATGGCGTCTGTCTAGGGGGCTAAATGCGTCTCAGTGGGGTGGAGTTTGAGCCCACCACAGTCCACGGTAAATGTTTCCTCCTGTCATTCATGTGAGATGAGGAGAGGAGATATTCCCCATGCAAAATGGGAGGGGGAAACTGAGGCACATAATGGCGTCTTTGCAACATCCAAGGCCCTCGCCATGTATGTGGTGTAGGTATTTACATCGGTTTCATCCGGGCCGTATCTGAGGAGTTCTCAGCCATGACCAGCCTTTAATGTCATAATGTCCTTGTGAGGAAGACAGGTGTGATGATCCCTGCTTTACGGCGGGGGAAACTGAGGCACGGGGAAGCTTAAGTGATAGACATAACGTCACCCTAGGAGCCTGTTGGCACCAGCCGGCGTCTGACCCCTCCGCCCCAATGGAACGACACCCAGTCCCTGCCAGAGGACGGCCTGTGCCCACTGCTTGTGGGATTTGGAGACACAATTCCCATTTGTTTCTGTTTTCTCAGTTTCTGCCTCAGTCACCGTCTACCTGCCCCAGGCCAGGCAGGGTCCAAGGGAAGGGCAGGAAGGGAGCGGAGAGGCCTGAGAGCCGGTTGAGGGCTGGAAACCCACAACCAGACACCTTGGGCAGGACGCCAGGGTTGTCAGTGTCTTACCCAGTTGGGGGTGATCAGCTTGCACGTGTGTGTGTACATGAGGGGGGTATGCATGTGTCTGTGTGTGTCCGTGTGTGTGTGTTCGTGTGTGTGTCCGTGTGCATGTGTTCGTGTATGAGTGTATGTATGTGTATGTGCGTGCATGTACATGTGTATGTGTGTGTGTGCATGTACATGTGTATGTCTGTGTGTGTGTCCGTGTGCATGTGAGTGTGTGTGTTTGTGTATAAGTGTATGTATGTGTATGTGCGTGCATGTACACGTGTATGTTTGTGTGCGTGTGTACATGTTTGTGTGTATGTGTGTGTGCATGTTTCTACATGTGTGTGCATGTGTGTGTGAATGTGTGAGCATGTGTTTATATGTATGTGTGTGTGTGTGCATGTCTGGTTCTACATGTGTGCATGTGCGTGGTTATGCGGATGTGTACGATTGTGCACACGTGTGTATGTGCCAGCACGCGTGTGTATGAATGTGCATGTGTGAGTGTGCATATGAGTGTGTGCGTGTGTGTGTGTGTTGGGCTAGCGGAGGGCCAGGTCCCAGGAGCACTGTCAGCGCTGTGTGAACAGGGAGGGCGGCAGTGCCTGTGGGCGTGTAGCTCTTTCGTCCGATGCCGTGGCGGCGGCGGGGTGCGGGGCCGATCTCAGTCAGGATGGAAGCGTGACGCTGGCCCGGGACACACGCTGCGCTCACGATGATTCCACCGGAACATCTCCGCCCGTCGTGCCTGAACCGGGCTCGCTGTGTCCCCGGTCTCTGCGGGCAGCGGGCGGTACCGAGCTGCCGCCTAACGGGGGGCTCTTTTACCGCCCCACCGGCATGGGTTCGTGCCCTGGGACTCGTGCCGCTGAGGCCTGAGGGTATCTGCAGCATCAGCCCTGTGCTTGCCGACTTCTCCGAGCAGGGCCCAGATCTCCGGCCTCTCCCCCAGCTGGGGAGACGCGGGCTTCTGTTTCAGCGCCTCCTCTTGCTCCATTCAACCAAAGCTGTGACACCAGAGGGCCCTAGAAGAGCAGTGTATAGACAGCAGAGCAATGTCTGTCGCAGCTCAGGTACATTGGCTGACCTCACCTTAGAAAGAGGAGACTAAGGGAGGATAGGAGAGAGGTCCATAAAATCATGGCGACTGTGGAAAAAGTGAATAAGAAACAGTTATTTACTTGTTCCCATAGCACAAGCACTAGGCCGCCAAATGAAATGAACAGGCAGCAGATTTAAAACAAACAAAGGGAAGTTTTTCTACAGGCAGCGCACAATCAACCTGTGGAACTCCTTGCTGGGGGATGTTGTGAAAACCTGGACTTTAACAGGGTTCAAAAAAGAACTGGATACAGTCATGGAGGAAAGGTCCATCAATGACTATTAGCTAGGATGGGTAGGAATGGTGTTTGTAGCCTTTGTCACAGGCTGGGAATGGGCAACAGGGACGGGGTGACTGGATGGTTCCCTGTTCTGTTCACTACCTCTGGGGGAACCTGGTATTGGACACTGTGGGCAGACAGGACACTGGGCTGGATGGACTTTTGGTCTGACCCAGTCTGGCTGTTCTTATGTTTTTATGTATTTATCTGCACAAGCCCCACAGAGCATAGAGTTGTGCTGTTGCTTTGCAGGAAAGAAACTGAGGCACGGTGAGGCTAAGGGGAAGGAGAGGGGTGAACTCAGGTGCTCTGAGCTAATGAAGTTAATCAGCTGCTCTCTCTGAGACCTGCCATTGAAACTTGCAGTGCCCGGGTTATTATAGAAGACAGGTACCGTTTATTTTGGTATTATTATTAGCTGATTACGAGTAGAGTCTGTGTTTCCTAACCTCTAAATTTACACTTCTAAAGGTGCTCAGAGTGCTTAGGTTCACTGCCCTAGACAGGGGACCTAGCTGCACCTAAATACATTTAAAAATCCACCTTAGAGAAACTAAACCAGCACTCGCACTGAGCTTTGAGGAAAACCAAGATGAGAACGCCAGGGTAGGACCTCAGCTACTGGATGTTCATTTAGTTGTAGCGGTCGGTGACTTCGGAGTGTCACCATTTTGTCCAAGGAAATCCCCATAGCCAGCCTGACAGGATCCAGAATATGCTGTTCTCGCTCACGCAGGCATGCCAGTTTACCCCTATTCTAGCTGAAACGTATGGCATGAGAACACACTCTCCTAGTTCTTCCCAAAAGCTCTCCGCTTATTGGCCGCCCATCTCCTCAGTGCGTTGCGTACTTCTTGGTTTCTCAGGGTGTAGATGAGCGGGTTGACCAGAGGAGTCAGGACGGTGTAGAAGACCGAGAACACTTTGTTCAGGTCTCGCAACGTACTGGTGTCCGGGAGCATGTAGACAATGATGATGGTCCCATAGAAAATTACAATCACCATGAGGTGGGAGGAACAGGTGGAGAAGGCCTTCTGCTTTCCCCTGGTGGATGGGATTCTCAGGATGGTGGTGATGATGAAGATGTAGGAGGCCAAGGTTAATAGACACGGTGTCGGTGTGAATATAAAGGCCATGACCAAGGTCACGAGTTCAACAAGGGAGGTGTCACTGCAGGAGAGGTTCATGATGGGGGAGAAATCACAAAAGAAATGGGGAATTTCGTTGGAGTCGCAAAAAGTTAATTGGGATGCCAAAAAGATCACGACGCAATTGGCCAAAAAAGCACTTATCCAAGAACCAGCCGATAGCTGAAGGCAACATTTGGTGTTCATCAATGCTGTGTAATTCAGGGGGTTACAGATGGCTAAGTACCGGTCATAGGACATCGCGGCCAGGAGATAACTTTCGGCAGCTGCCAGGGAACCAAAGAAATAAAATTGGGAGATGCAACCGCTAACGGAGATGGTCCTGTCCCCCGTCAGGAGACTGGCCAGCAGCCGGGGCAGGATGGCGGAGCTGTAGCAGATCTCCAAGCAGGATAAATTCACCAGGAAGAAGTACATGGGGGTGTGGAGGTGCCGATCAACCACAACTAGAAACATGATGAGGATGTTCCCGGACATTGTAGCAAGATAGATGACTAGAAATAGGAGGAAGAGAAACAACTGGAGTTCTGGCAGATCCCCAAATCCCAGGAGGATGAATTCTTTGACGAATGTTTGATTTCCCAGACCTGCATTTGCCATGGGGTGTAAAATCCAAGAAAACCTGGAGGGGAAAATAAAAAATAGACAGTCATCATGCAATAGATCCCATTGGAAAATGGATTTTCCATTCTGTGGGTAATTCTAACGTTGCAAAATGGTTAGAACCTGGGTGAAAAAAAAATGTAATTTCAAAAATTCTCAGGGAACAAAGATTCTGCAAATTTTGGACTTGGAAACGTCAACATTCTGTCTTTCGATAAAATGTATCCTTTTTTTGCTAATGTCAAAACATTTCACCGAGGTAAGGTCAAGGTGGAAGCATTTTGATTAGATTTCTCAGTCTTTTGAAATATTAAATATACTAGTGTCTAAATAACGTTAATAATAATGCATTGGTAAAATAGAATGTTAACATCTACTGTGCTTTTGAGCGACTGTGCAGCCGTCTGTCTGTCAATCTGTCCATCCATCTGTCTGTGAGCCTGTTTGTTCAAGAGCTCCTACTAAACCCTACGAGCTAGGGCCGCCAAATGTGGATTGCTCTTATTATCATGGAATAAGCGTCCTCTTATTGTCATGGAAAGCAAGGTCTGGCTTTGTTTGCGCCTGGAAAATGGTTCCAAAAGGACACAGCTGAAATAGAATTCATTTGCATATGCAACCTTATCAATTTAGGATTGAATACAGATCTCTACTGGTTAATGAAGTACAAAGGCAATTTCCCCGCTCTGGATATTCAGATCTCCACGCCAAATGCCGGGAATGCCTCACTTCCACCTTGAGTTGATTAGCCATTCACTCAAGCAACTTCTCCCTTATATACATCCCTTCTTCTGTACCTTCCGCTCCCATTCATCTGACGAAGTGGGTTTTACCCATGAAAGCTGATGCCCTAATAAATCAGTTAGTCTCATAGGGTGTGTCTAGACTACAGGGTTTTTTCGACAAAACTGGACTTTTGTCGACAAAACTATACCTGCGTCCACACTGCCTTTGAGTTATGTCGACATAACGTTGACAAAACTCAGCAGTTTTGTCGATGTATGTAAACCTCATTCTATGAGGAATAACGCCTTTTATCGACAGAGTTCTGTCGATAGAAGGCATTATTGCATCTACACTGTCCTTTGCATCCACACTGTTATGTCGACAAAGCGGCTTGCTTTCTCGACAGAACTGGATGTAGTCTAGACGCTCTTTGTCGACAGAAGCTTTGTCGACAGTATCTGTCAACAAAACTTCTGTCGACAAAACCCTGTAGTCTAGACATACCCTAAGGGTACATCTACACTAGCCCCTTAGGAGGCTAATGAAGGTGACCGAAATATCCTGTGCTTCATTAGCATGTTCCCAGACGGTCACCATTTTGGAAATTGACTAGCCCAGAAGAACTGCCCACAGAGAAGGGCGATTCCGAAATCAACCCCTTACTTTGAATTACCAGTTAAACCTCATTCCACATTTACCTTACCTCATTCCATGAGGTTTAACTGTTAATTCGAAGTAAGGGGTTTATTTTGGAATCACCCTTCTCTGCCGCGTGTAGAGAAGTTCTTCTGGGCTAGTCAATTTCCAAAATGGCGACTGCCCGGGAACATGCTAATGAAGCGTGGGATATTTAAATCCCTCGCTTCATTTGCAATTTCGGTCGCCCTCATTAGCCTTCCTAGTTCAACTAGGGGGCTAGTGTAGACATACCCTAAGGTGCCACAGGGCTCCTAGCTGTTTTGGCAGATACAAACTAACACAGCTCCCCTTCCGAAGCTAAGAAAGGTAATTACACAGTGTCTGCAACCTAAGGGGGTATTCTCAGATGAACCACAATGGTAGCTGTGACAATGTTCACAGAAATGTATGTCATATTTCTAACATTTTTCCATCAGCCAGAAGCAAGGCTGGGAATGTAATCCAACCCATTGATGGGAAGAAATCTAACACCAGAGGGAATAAAATACCATTCTACATGGAAAGCAGATTACTGGCATGGCATATTGAGCCGGAGACACAGGGTTATCGAATTGTGACAGGCTTAGCGGAAACAGATGCACAGTGGAAACCATTTGCAATACATGACCACGACAATCTACTGGTCTTGATGCTGTTGTGTATTTTTAAACAACACCTGCTGGCCCCTTATCAGATAACTCACAAAGCTTCCTGTTCTACAGAACATACTCCTAACAACAGTTATCTAGGCAGACCAAGAAAAAGTCAGTAAAGTAGCCAATAGATAAAAATAGTATCGTAATAAGGATTTTCCATTAAAAAAATTATAAATTGGTCCCCTTTCGCACCCATATGAAATATTTGAAATGAGCATTACATGTATTGTGTATTGGCTTTGGGCTTCTTATGGGCTGGACAACCTGGATAAATCGTCTGAGGTCAATAGGATGAAGGTTAATAAGGACAAATGCAAAGTGCTCCACTTAGGAAGGAACAATCCGTTTCACACACACAGAACGGGAAGCAACTGTCTAGGAAGGAGTCCTGCAGAAAGGGGTCTAGGGGTCACTGTGGATGACAAGTTAAACATGAGCCAACAGTGTGATGCTGTTGCAAAAAAAGCAACCATTTCTGGGAGGCATGAAGAGGAGTGTTGTGAGCAAGACACGAGAAGTCATTCTTCTGCTCTACTCTGCACTGATTAGGTCTCTGCTGGAGTATTGTGTCCAGTTCTGGGAATCACATTTCAGGACAGATGTGGAGAAACTGGAGAAGGTCCAGGGAAGAGCAACAAGAATGATGAAAGGTCTAGAAACCATGAGCAATGAGGGAAGACTGAAAGAATTGGGCTTGTTTAGTTTGGAAAGGAGAAGACTGAGAAAGGACATGATAGCAGTTTTCAGGTATCTAAAAGGGTGTTACAAAGATGATGGGTGAAAAATTGTTCTCCTTGGCCTCGGAGGACAGGACAAGAAGCGATGGGCTGAAACTGCAGCAAGGGAGGTTGAGGTTGGACATTAGGAAAAACATCCTACCCGTCAGGGTGGTGAAACACTGGAATAAGTTGCCTAGGGAGGTTGTGGAATCTCCATCGCTGGAGATATGGAAGAGCAGGTTGGACAGACACCTGGCAGGGATGGGCTAGCTGGCGCGTTGTCCTGGGACTGGACTCGATGACCTCTCGTGGTCCCTTCCAGTTCTACTGTTCTATGATTTTATGGTTTCCACAATTCACTCTCTCTCTCTCTCTCTCTCTCTCTCTCTCTCTCTCTCTCCCTCTCTCCATACATTTTTCAGTATTCCAGTGAGGCAGAACATAAACTCAAAGGTAAAATCCAGCCCTGAACAGAGGTGATGGAAGACCAGCTGCCCGGTCTGGTCCATCTGTAATTCTGACATAAATGAAAAGCAGAATGGAGATCAATTTACCTCTGTGATGGGTCTATTGCTCGCTGGACTGGTGTGATGTGACCCGTTCACTCAGCCTTTCAGGAGCAAGATTCAGGACCCCCGTCAATCTTCTAACCCCATTCCTTCCTGTTCTCTGTTTCCAGCACAAAAGGGATGACGCGCTGACCATTTAGGTGCCTTTGGAGCTGGTGATGTTCTTGGCACCATGCATCTTGCCTTCTGTAAAAGCACACCCAGTGTTTGCATTACTTATCCTTCATGCCGCACAGTGAAATCTCCCTGGACATTTCTGCAGATGGGGATTTTCAATTGCCACCAAGGGAAAATTCCAAGATGAGGCGGGGGAGGCGATATCATGTGTTGGACCACCTTGCATCGAGGAGAGAGACGAGTTTTTGAAAAGTTGAGATACTGTCGAGACAGTCAAACTCTTAACCTCAATAGCTACATCTACACTGGCATGATTTTCCGAAAATGCTTTTAACGGAAAAGTTTTCCGTTAAAAGCATTTTCAGAAAAGCGCGTCTAGATTGGCAGGATGCTTTTCCGCAAAAGCACTTTTTGTGGAAAAGCGTCCGTGGCCAATCTAGATGCGCTTTTCCGCAAAAAAGCCCCGATCGCCATTTTCGCGATCGGGGCTTTTTTGCCGAAAACAGTCCTGTGCTGTTTACACTGGCCCTTTTGCGCAAAAGTCTTTCGGAAAAAGACTTTTGCCCGAACGGGAGCAGCACAGTATTTCCGGAAAAGCACTGACGATCTTAGATGAGATCGTCAGTGCTTTTCCGGAAATTCAAGGGGCCAGTGTAGACAGCTGGCAAGTTTTTCCGGAAAAGTGGCTGATTTTCCAGAAAAACTTGCCAGTCTAGACACAGCCAATAGGAAAGAAATTGGGTGAGTAGATTGGGTATCCTCACGTAAGAGCGGTCAGACTGGGTCAGTCCAAAGGTTCATCCAGCCCAATGTCCTGTCTGTCGACAGTGGCCAATACCAGATGCCCCAGAGGGAGGGAACACAACAGGTAATGCTCACATGATCCCTCTCCTATCACCTATTTCCAGACAAACCTGAAGGAAAATTCTTCCTCTCTAGTACATCTGCACTACCCCCCTAGGCTACGTCTACACAGCAGGCTTTTTGTGCAAGAGTTCTTGTGCAAAAGGTCTTCTACAAGAGCGTGTCCACGCTGCCATGTGCTTTTGCGCAAGAGTGTCCATGGTAGTGTGGACGTTCTCTTGCACAAGAAAGCTCTGATGGCCATTTTAGCCATAGGGGTTTCTTGCGCAAGAAATTCATGTTGTCTGTCTACACTGCCTTCTTGTGGAAGAGCTCTTGCGCAAGAGGGCTTATTCCTCATGGGGAGAGGAATAACTCTTCCGGAAGAAGCCCTGTTTTCCGACGCTGCGCTGTAAATTTACTTGCACAAGAACGCACGTGAAGTGTAGACGTTCTGCACGTTTTTGCGCAAGAACTGCCGTTTTTTGAGACTTTGTTATCTTTGTTATCTTCTCTTCATGTCAACCCATTCTATTTGGCAAAATAAGGCCACAGTCACATGGAGAGATGGGCACCACGCTGCCTTGTTAGGTGCCCAACTCCCCAAATCTGGAATCTCCGAGAGGCATGAAAAGCTGCTTGTCTGCTGCCCAACCTGACAGGCCCCAAACGCTGAGTTTTCACGGTCCACGTTCCCTTTTCAGATCTCCTGTTCCCTCTGCATACATAGGTGGGAACCTAAGCCACAGGGTGCTCCACACAGTAGGACAATTTAGATGTTCCTCTAGTTTGCCAGCTGGACCACTGGCGACAGGGTAACATGAAGGGATTGCTGTGAGCTGTGCCGCCCCTGCCCCCAATTTGTCTCCTTCTCCTGCCTCAGTTTCCATACCTGGGGGGTCTGGAACGCTGCCTACGAAGCCCTGCACCAGTTCTGTGTCATGCTGCCTCAGGTCTGTGAGCCAGTCCCTTCCAAGCCCCATGTAACCAGTAAGATGGGGAGGGACCTCCCCCTCCAGCAGAGGGGGAAGGGACAGGTAGTCCTGGGGAGGGAAGAACATGGGGGGAAAGCTAGGGGCAAAAGGGGAAGGGACAGATAGTCCTGGGGTGGGAAGAACATGGGGGGAAAGCTAGGGGGATTCTGGCAGCCCCAGAGTTGGGGGATTGGAAGGTGTGAGGGGTGGATGGAAGTTCCAGCCCCAGGTTGGTGGGAGGTACCACAGCTCTGGGGACGGTGGTAATTCGTGGGGTGGGGAAGATGACACCACCCAGGGAAGCTCGCAGCAGCCATGTTTCTGCGGGACTGCAAATGGGCAGTGGGGACATGGGGGGTACCTAGGGGATGGGGGATGGGCAGCAGGAAAGTGAGGCATACATGTGAGATGAGGGATGGGCTGTGGGAACATGGGGAACCTCAGGAATTGAGGATGGGTGGTGGGTACCTCAGGGAGGAGGGCAGCAGAAACATCAAGAGAACTTTGAAATGGGTGAAGGGCACCAGGAAGATAGGGGTATCTGCAGTATGGGGGATGGGCACCAGGAACACGGTGGGGTACCTGTGGGACGTGCATCTTGGCTGGGAGATGGAAGAGCAGGATGCTGGGTAAAGAACATAAGAATGGCCAGACTGGGTCAGACCAAAGGTCCATCCAGTCCAGGGTCCGGTCTGCTCACAGTGGCCAATGCCAGGTGCCCCAGAGGGAACGAACAGAACAGGGAATCATCCCGGGATCCCTCCCCTGTCATCCAAGAATTCATCTAGCTCTTTTTTCAACCTTCTTAATGTCCTGGTCTTCACCACATCCTCTGGCAAGGAGTTCCACAGGTTGAGTGCACTGAGTGAAGAAAATACTTCCTTTTGTTTGTCTGAAACCTGCTGCCTATGAATTTCAGTGGGTGACCCCTAGTTCTTATGTTATGGGAACAAGTAAATACCTTTTCCTTATTCACTTTTTCCACACCAGTCATGATTGAGAAGCTGGAGATGAGCCAACAGGGCATCCTTGTAGCCAAGAAGGCTAATGGCACATTGGGGTAAATTAGAAGGAGCATTGGAAGCAGATCTAGAGAAGTGATTATTCCCCTTTATTCCGCACTGGTGAGGCCACATCTGGAGTATTGTGTCCAGTTCTTGGTCCCCCCGCCCCATTGAAAGGCTGCGGACGCATTAGAGAGGGTCCAGTGGGGGGCAACCAGAATGATTAGGGAGCTGAAGCACATGACCTATGAGGAGAGGCTGAGGGATTTGGGTTTGTTTAGTCTGCAGAAGAGAAGAGTGAGGGGGGATGTGAGAGCAGCAGATGCACCTTTCTGCAGATGTTCCAAAGAGGATGGAGAGAGGCTGTTCTCAGTGGGGGCAGGTGGCAGAACAAGGAGCAATGGGCTCAAGTTGCAGTGGGAGAGGTCTAGATTGTACAGTAGGAAAAACTATTTCCCTAGGTGGGTGGAGAAGCCCTGGGATGTATTCCTAGGGAGGGGGTGAAATCTTCATCCCTAGAGGTTTTTTAGTCACAGCTTGACCAAGCCCTAGATGGGATGTTTGAGTTGGGGTTGGTCCTGCTTTGGGCAGGGGTTGGATTTGATGGCTTGCTTAGGTCCCTTCCCACCCTTCCCACCCCAGTGATCTCCAGCTTTTCCACAGGGTTTGAAATTGACTCGTCTTTAAAGATGTTCCGGTGATCCGAAATCTCTATGCAATTTGCCAAATAGCTGCTGCGCAGCAACTGACCCAAAACCTGATGAAACCATTTTGGAAATCCAAAATATCTGAATGTAGCCAAGAGTGGAGGAGGGGCAGCGGGCCAACAAATGAAGACGGTTGAGCACCGTTTCAGGAAATGTTTTGATTACAATTAAAATACCTTAAAACATGGCCATAACGTGGAGCGTTTTGGTGAGCGACTCTATTTGGGGGACGACCATTTGAGAAGGAAGATGAAACCGAGACACAGAGACAGGACAACTTGGCTAAATGCGGGAGCCAGGGCTCGATGACCCTATGTTTCTATACAATAGCCTTTTCTTAAGAGCAGTTGCTTAAGAAAGAAGAGTTATAGTCACCACTGATATGGCCCAGAAGGTATCTGGACACCATAATTGTTTTAAAAATATATCTTTCCAGTGCGGAAGGAATCACCTTTTTTTTCAACTTTGTTCTGTAAGGGTGTATCTAGACTACAGCGTTTTGTCGACAGAAGTGGACTTTTGTCGACAAAACTATACCTGCGTCCACACTGCTTTTGAGTTATGTCGACATAACGTCGACAAAACTCAGCAGTTTTGTCGACGTATGTAAACCTCATTCTACGAGGAATAACGCCTTTTATCAACAGTTCTGTCGATAGAAGGCATTATTGCATCTACACTGTCCTTTGCGTCCACACTGTTATGTGGACAAAGCTTTGTTGACAGAACTGGATGTAGTCTAGACGCTCTTTGTCAACAGAAGCTTTGTCGACAGTATCTGTCGACAAAACTTCCGTCAACGAAACCCTGTAGTCTAGACATACCCTAACTGAACCTAAGGCGAAACTCATATTTTCCTTCCCTTAATCTCAGCCCACACACAAAGAGTGGAAACCCACTTTCCTTCTTGTCAAGATAGAAATGTAGGCACAAAACCTAAGGCGAAACTCGTATTTTCCTTCCCTTAATCTCGGCCCACACACAAAGAATGGAAACCCACTTTCCTTCTTGTCAAGATAGAAATGTAGGCACAAAAGAGACCTCCAGAGGTCATCCAGTCCACCCCCAACTGCTCTGAGGTGGAACTAAGTGACCCTAAACCATCCCGAAGAGCTGTTGTTGCAACCTGTTCTTTAAATCCTCCAACTAGAGAGATTCTGCAGCCTGCCTAGATAATCTGTTTCAAAAGTGAACTCTCCTGGGAGCTGGAAAGTTTCTTCTTATACCTAACCTCACATTTGGCCTCTTGTGTAAATAGATAAATGCCTACGAAGACACAGTGTGGCCATGCACCCGGCGGGTGCTGAGTTACGTTTCAACCAGGCGGAGCAATAGCCTCGTACAGTGAGGAGCAGAAGGTGTTTCCTCTGGGAGTGGGAGGTTGGTTGCGCCGGGAGAATAGTTCATTCTGTCTGCCCAGAAAACATTGCGCTAACTCCCCGGCCTCAGCTCGGTCAGACGGGGTATGCAGGGCGAGGCAGCCTGGCACGGAGAAGGGCTCAAATACCCGGAGAGCTCTGCCCTTTCCACAGGTTGGAGGCAGAGCATGTTCTAACGCAGCTGCTCCTCCGTTCGGGTCGATACAGATCTCTCCACTGGGAAGACCCACATTCTCCAGAAGGAGGAGAGAAAGAAACTGAGCCAATGAACCTGGATCCTGGTTGCCAAACCCTGGGAAATACGGGTCCATCACGTCAAGCTGGAACCACTCCGTGGTTGCAGGTGAGCACCGTCCACAGAACGGAAAGTCAGTCCCACCTCCCAGAAAGGGGCATGCACGTGCTTTGTGGTGATTCATCGCTTCTGCCTCACCTCCCCCAGGCAGTGCCCATCCGTGGGATGAGCAGCATTTCACAAGGGGGACATTGAGATGTGTCTCGTGAAATGCCCTCAACTAGGGATCTGTGCTAATGCCACCAAGATGGCCAATTCACCCAACCTGAGGGTCTTCCTTGGTGTGGTCCCTCCTGAGGTTGGTGCGTGGTGTGAGCGTGACCAGCCTCGCTCGCATGGTAGCACGTCAGTGTGTTTCTGAGTTCCAGAGCCGCCCCCGTCTCCTTCAGTGCTTTGCTCATTCCTGTCTTATCAGCTCACCATCATACTGGCGTGCAAAGGGTCCCTCCCCTGCACATCGTGGGGTTTTTTTCACGTTTCCTAAAATCTAGTTTATTGCTGTGACAGGGCTATCATGAAAAATTCTCCAGCAAAAAAGAAAAGGTGTTGTCTTTCCCCCCACCATGTCATTCTCATCAGTGTTAATACATGAGGAAGAATGAAGGGGGATTTGAGAGCAGCCTTCCACTCCTTGAAGGGGGGCTCCAAAGAGGCTGGAGAGAGGCTGTTCTCAGTGGTGAAAGATGGCAGAACCAGGGGCAATGGTCTCAAGTTTCAGTGGGAGAGGTCTAGGTTGGACATTAAGAAAAGCTGTTTCCTTAGGAGGGAGGGGAAGCGCTGGGATGGGTTCCCTAGGGAGGAGGTGGAATCTCCATCCCTAGAGGTGTTGGCTGGACACAGCCCTGGCTGGGATGGTGGAGTTGGGGTTGATCCTGCTTTGGGCCGGGGACTGGACTCCGTGACTCCTGAGGTCTCTCCCAGCTCTAGGATTCTATGAAAGATTGACCCGACTTCCTTATCCATGACAGAAGCCGGCGTCTTGTGAGGGGGAGTGAAAATAATGATCCCTTTCCTTACAGACCAAGGTCTCCTAACCGAAGACCGGTACCTAAGGACAGGAATCAATCCGTCCAAGATTTCACTGGATGTCCTTATTGGTGTGGGGCCCTGCTGAGGCAGGGCATCATTCAGGCAGAAGGGAAATGCTGCTTTGAAGCATCATGGTTAAGCTCCTGTATGTCAGCAGGAGGTCTATGATAGCAGGGAGGGAAGCGGTCGGATTGTCACCTCATAACCGAAGACCGGTACCTAAGGACAGGAATCAATCCGTCCAAGATTTCACTGGATGTCCTTATTGGTGTGGGGCCCTGCTGAGGCAGGGCATCATTCAGGCAGAAGGGAAATGCTGCTTTGAAGCATCATGGTTAAGCTCCTGTATGTCAGCAGGAGGTCTATGATAGCAGGGAGGGAAGCGGTCGGATTGTCACCTCACTGCTTGGCTTACCAGAGGAATAGCTGCTCGAAGAGGTCTTCCTCTGATGTGGCCGAGGTTGGGTCTACATTCAGTTCTCACACTTGAAGATGGCCAGGCAGCCTTACGTTGTCGTTGTTGTGCTTAAATGAAGCACCCGGGATCTTTTTCAGGGGGATAAGGCACCACACCAGTTATTGGGCATGCATGGATCAATCAACACTTCATCATATGTCTATGATACATCGCACTCATGCACTCACACACAGATACACAAGGACACGCCGTCTTGTTACCAATAGTTGCTCCCCCTAACTGCACTGGCCAGGTGAGTTAGATGGGGGAGGGGTGGAGCCAGGCTCCTGCCGATCCGGATCGATGCTCCCATGTTGACAGGAAGAAAACCCGGGATCCCTCTGCAAGATGCCTCCTATTTATCCCTCTCATGCAGCCAGTTAGTCATCACCTCGCCTTTCCTAATGCTGCTTCAGAGAGGGTCCTTCCAAGGGCCGGCACTTGCTCCTTGACTCCCAAGCTCCTCTGCCTGTCCAGTTTTCTTTTCAATGAGCTCACTTCACAGGTATTGTCTTGGATCTGGTTCCAAGCCCCCTTCCATCCTTGCAACTGCTGCTGGAGGTGCTCACCTTTCAGTCTCCATTCACACCTCGTTCATTTCAACAGGTCAATCAAAGAAAGGGGAGAGATCTCAAATGACATTTTTCTTTACGTTAACTATTCCTAGGACCTATAACATAAAGAGCTTGATACAAAGTTTCTTAATACAAGGGATTCTATAAGAACACTTAACATAAATATATGGAAAAAAAGATCAAGATCTATCTATCTATCTATCTATCTATCTATCTATCTATCTATCTATCTATCTATCTATCTATCTATCTATCTATCTATCTATCTATCTATCTATCTATCTATCTATCTATCTATCTATCTATCTATCTATCTATCTATCTATCTATCTATCTATCTATCTATCTATCTATCTATCTATCTATCTATCTATCTATCTATCTATCTATCTATCTATCTATCTATCTATCTATCTATCTATCTATCTATCTATCTATCTATCTATCTATCTATCTATCTATCTATCTATCTATCTATCTATCTATCTATCTATCTATCTATCTATCTATCTATCTATCTATCTATCTATCTATCTATCTATCTATCTATCTATCTATCTATCTATCTATCTATCTATCTATCTATCTATCTATCTATCTATCTATCTATCTATCTATCTATCTATCTATCTATCTATCTATCTATCTATCTATCTATCTATCTATCTATCTATCTATCTATCTATCTATCTATCTATCTATCTATCTATCTATCTATCTATCTATCTATCTATCTATCTATCTATCTATCTACATACACCTCCTCTATCTAGCTAGCTAGCTATAAGGAAAGTTTCTCTTAATTCAAAGTTATATGAGAATGATACATGGTTATATGGAAATGTTACAGAGATTTATCCACATCATCTGGTAACCAGGAAAGAGGCAGGAGGTTTTAATGGAATTAATTTGTAATGTTTGAACACCTTTCCACTCAATGTTCTTAACGGCACCATTTATTTTTTTGCTCCTAGACTCAACCCACGGTGGACACAGAGTGGGGAAACCAAACGGCCATCACGCAATTCATCCTTCTGGGATTTGGAGACCTCCCTGACCTGAGACTTT